CGACTTGACATCTTAGAACCAATTTCAGATAGGTTCGAGAACCAGTTCAAAACAAATCCAGTTCGACACAAACTCAACCATGAGCAGTATGTTTCCAGTTAACACTTTCAAGCCAGATTTCAATTTCACGACAAAGGATATCCAATTCCAGACTCAGCTTCACGACGAAGGGGTCACCCGCAGTTTCAACTTCACGACGAAGGGAATCGTGCACACAAGCAACATCCATCTTTTGGATCTCAACTTCACAACGAAGGATATTCAACTCAAAGAAGAAGTGTCTGTCAACAAACTTCTCAATTTCAGAGCCAATTTCAACTTCACAGCGAAGGATATTAGACTCCAGACAACGCATGTTCAACTTCACGACGAAGGGACCGCTGGTTGTCAACAAACAACTTCTCAATTTCAGAGCTAATTTCAACTTCACAGCGAAGGATATTGGACTCCAGACAACGCATGTTCAACTTCACGACGAAGGGACCGCTGGTTGTCAACAAACAACTTCTCAATATCAGAGCCAATTTCAACTTCACAGCGAAGGATATTGGACTCCAGACAACGCATGTTCAACTTCACGACGAAGGGACCGCTGGTTGTCAACAAACAACTTCTCAATTTTAGAGCCAATTTCAACTTCACAACGAAGTATATTGGACTCCAGACAACGCAAGTTCAACTTCACAACGAAGGGTCCGATGGTTGTCAATAAACAACTTCCCAATTTCAGAGCTAATTTCAACTTCACAGCGAAGGATATTGGACTCCAGACAACACATGTTCAACTTCACGACGAAGGGACCGCTGGTTGTCAACAAACAACTTCTCAATTTTAGAGCCAATTTCAACTTCACAACGAAGGATATTGGACTCCAGACAACGCAAGTTCAACTTCACGACGAAGGGACCGCTGGTTGTCAATAAACAACTTCCCAATTTCAGAGCCAATTTCAACTTCACAGCGAAGGATATTGGACTCCAGACAACGCATGTTCAACTTCACGACGAAGGGACCGCTGGTTGTCAACAAACAACTTCTCAATTTCAGAGCCAATTTCAACTTCACAACGAAGGATATTGGACTCCAGACAACGTAAGTTCAACTTCACGACGAAGGGACCGCTGGTTGTCAACAAACAACTTCCCGATTTCAGAGCCAATTTCAACTTCACAACGAAGGATATTGGACTCCAGACAACGCAAGTTCAACTTCACGACGAAGGGACCGCTGGTTGTCAATAAACAATTTCCCAATTTCAACTTCACAACGAAGGATATTGGACTCCAGACAATGTAAGTTCAACTTCACGACGAAGGGACCGCTGGTTGTCAATAAATAATTTCCCAGTTCCAGAGCCAATTTCAACTTCACGGCGGAGGATATTGGACCTGGAACAATACAACTTACTTGGATTTCAACTTCACGATGAAGGATATCCAATTCGTGGCTCAACTTCACAACGAAGGGGCCATCTGCGGTTTCAACTTCACGACGAAGGGAATCGTGCCAACCAAAGACCTTCGAGTTCGACTACGCTCAGCTCCAAGGCACATCATTTGCAGCATAGCTTAAGTCGAGAAAGGCTATCTACCAAGGACCCCCGAGTTCGATTACACTCAGCTTCGAGGGCATATCATTTACAGCATAACTCAAGGCTAGAAGGGTTATTTGTGACCAAAGACCTTCGAGATCGACTACGCTCAGCTCCAAGGCAAATCATTTACAGCATAGCTCAAGGCAAAAAGGGCTATCTATCAACAAAATTATCGAGTTCGATTTCGTTCAGCTCGATGACACATCAATCACACTATTGTCCGGTTGCAGTCGAGGTTTTCAAGTCAAGAAGAAGACTTGGGTTAGCCGTGCCTTAGTGTCAAGAAACTGTTTTCCGGCAGCATAGCTTAAGTCGAGAAAAGTTATCTGTCAACGAAGACCCTTCGAGTTCGATTTCATTCAGCTCGAGGGCCTATCAACAGCATGGTGGAGTCAAAGAACTATTTTCCATATGAATTTTGAAACCAAGGTCTTTAAACCGAGAAGAAGACCGATGTTGACTACAATTTGGCAACGAGAAGCCACATTCCGGTTTCATATTCCGAATTACGGCTTCAATTCCATATCATTTCAAGATGGACTCGACTTCGACAGGGAGTTATTCTTTAACTCTACCGAACGAAAATTTGTGTCTTTTTATCTTTGCCCTATTTTTCGTTCCACGAAAAAAGACAAGGAGGGGCAGCTGTAAACACTTATTTTCGTTCGGATATGTTTTTTTCCCATATATATATATATATTTATAGTAATATAATATAATTTTTTTTTGAATTTTTTATATATATAATAGATTATTATTAATATTATTATTATTATTATATTATTATTATTAATACTATTAATTTTGTTTTACAAATCCCAGCCCGAACCGCTCAGATTCGTACGTGTAACCGCATAAGCCTATGCTTGCCATCTGTCTCACCTGCTCAGTTGTTTCGAAGGTGCCAACAACAGAGAAAACAAAATCAGATTTTTTAGCCACATAAAGAGGCCAGCAAGGCAGGTAGTTCTGGGAGAGAAGGCCATTTTCTGTTAGTGGGGGAAGAATCCACCGCCGAAATCAAAGGAGAAGTATTTGATTGCTCTCCATGATTTTTTTCCAAAATTTTCGGTAGTAAAGTGGAAGTCATGATATAAAAAGGTGATCCAATGGCCTTATGAAGGGGGAGTAAATGATTTTTTAAAAGGGACAGAGTGATAAAATATACATGAGGTAGGGGTTCTTGCTCTTTGCCTTCTTTCTCTTCCTTCCATGGTTCCCACTTTCCACTTTCCACTTTCCAGTATCAAATGGAAAGCCAGACCCCTGATTTCATGGTGACCTTCGTCATCAGTTCACTAGGTTTCATCACCCTTTGTAAACCAGTTATCAGCTTCATCAAATGGGTGTGGGTCATGTTCCTCAGACCACCAAGTCCTCATTTCATCCTATATTCAATTTCCAACACTTACGTAGATATATTTCTACAAACAAATACCTACATTCTCACTATAGTTGAAGCATGTAGAGGAGGTTATGTTGGTGCGAGGCTTTGAAACAGGGCGTGTCCGCGACCACCGGGAGGAGACTTTCGCTGTCACCGCGAAATCGACTATTGTTTGAGGGAGTGACATTGAGAACCAATCTAGTATTCCACGACACAAAAGCTTGGTTATCTTCTTCACATTCTGATGTAGATGCAACCTCTGATTCGAAAAAGACGAAAGTAGAACCATCTCTGAAAGTAGATACACACCGGAGCCATTGCCGAGGGCCTTTTGATTTTTGTAATTACCTTTGCTGTTCTTTTTATCATTCTTGAAGGTCCACAGAGTGCAATATTCAAGACATGGTTGCTCACCATTTCAATCGTGGCGATAATCGTGCCCGGTACTGGTTACACCGGGCCTTCCATGAATCTCGCTAATACCTCGGTATCTTTGAATGTGTGGCAACCCGAGGTCGTGCATGGATGGCACAATAACATATCAAGAGTGATCCATCAAGTCCGGGGTTGTTGAGACTTTCTGGGAGCTGTTGGCATGGCTGCTGCTTTTGTAACCGATAATGCAGGAGAGCTGTACAGTTTGGTGCTCGCGTGGGGCTGTTGGGGCTGATGAGGACGCAAACGGCACCGAGGATTTTCTTCGAGCACCTGGAGTTCAAACCCCTGTTATTTGAAGTTTTCAAACCATAGAGGATTCCATTGGTGTAACTTTTGGTGCAGGAACGACTTTCCTTCTTCGCAGATCAATTGGTAGATCATTTGTTGTTTCTAAGTTAAAAGATTATCCTCAGTTTCGTGACTCCCGTTCCAGTTGTAGAATATATGATGGCCTCCTGGTTAGGAATGATGGTATCTGCCTCTCAATTTACTACCATTTTCTGCTTATTCTTCCCAAGAATTTCAGCTTGCTATTTATATGTATTTCAGTTTTTGGTGGTTTTGTCATGCTTCGGATTTAACACTGGGAATGGTGTTTGTTACAGCCAATAACTCTAGCTTTAGTTCAACTCTTAAGGATATTTATGATAACTCTAGCTTTAGTTCAATTCTTAAGGATATTTATGATGTGATACATGATGGAGTGAGTTTTCAACTGCACGTTGGATCTTCATATGCCAACTTTTGAACCTGAATCTCCACTGTGGGTTTTATATTGCCTTCCATTTGGCATCTTTTTTGAATAAACTGAGTTCAGCTTGTAAACATTTCAATAATGGCAGTAGACCAATGCTATTTAATTGTTTGAATGTGCAGTGTTCAATTAATTAAAAAACATCTTTGTTTACTTTAAATTGGTACCCTAACTTTGATTTTTTCTCTTGACAACCTTCAATTAACTTTAATTTAATCATTAATCTCTTCAATATTTTTTATTTAATATTTTTTCTCATCTCATCTTATTTTATTTTATTCTATTATTTAACAGTAATCTGATATTTTTAGGATAATTTCAGTCAATCAAAGGTGAGTGATTCGAATCGAATAATTTAAATTTTAACTTAAATTCTAATTTTCGTAATTAAAGGCAACCGATAAATTAATTGGTACCGAAAGGGCGGTTCAAGGGTGCTAATCCTTCCTTGATCGTAACCGACTCCCGAACCTGACACGTTTCTGGTACAACGCAGATCAGGTAAGATGGTGTCCGATCTACCTAATATCGCTTTAAAATGATCGGTGGCGACTTCAATCCATTTAATCCAAGTCGAAGCCCAATTCCGGGCCCGACCGAAAGACGGTTGCGACAGTAATATTCATATTTTTGTTTTTGATTCATAGGAAGCTGAGGTGCAAGAATCTGGACCACGCCCTCCCTCTATAAAAAGGCATACCATCTGCTCTCGTTTCAAACAATCTCACAAAAACAACATTTCCAACCTTTTGCCATTTCCAAAAGATCAAAGGGAGTTTAAACATGAAGATAAGCTTCAGCAGTGGTACTACTAGCAGTTCAGCAGCAGCCATGGGAAAGTCCAAGAAGAAGGTTTCATGCAGAAGGCTTGGAGGGTATCTCAGACAACAAAAAGGAAGGCTGTACATTATCAGAAGATGTGTTGTTATGCTTCTTTGCTGGCATGATTAAACAAGTATTTACTGCAAACTTGGAGCTGATGAAGGATTCATCCATCTCTTCCGGTATCCGAGTATTTTTGCAGCTAATTTAGGCTTCTTTCTTTCTTCTTGTTTTCCAATTGTAAATAGCAAAAGAGGTGATAATATAGGTTAGGGCTTTAGAGAGCTTTCTCCTACCTTTCAACTGGCTTTTCAGACTATAAAAACCCTCATGTTAAATCAGATAAACCCTATATTATTTACAATGTTATGTATAATTTCCTTATGTTTCTCTCGACTTTGCAGAAGTTTAATCACTAACATTCATGTGTATAGTGTTGCTACTGAACTGCAAGTTTTAGGGTTCAATGAAAATACGTATCGTTTCATTAAGCAACTCATCATGAACAAATTCAACATTTCATCAATGATTGTGTCAACATAATCCGGCAAGATGTGAAGTTGCAAAGAAATCATAAAGAGTTAATTATAACTGAGAGAGCTCCATGCATCAAAGCCATGCACCTCATATTTTTTTCTTGATCCCTTAATCTAATAATATTACAACTTCGTGTAATGTTAAGTATATGGCATGTATAAAAAAAGACATTAAAGATTTAAAGTATGTGCTTCTGTTTTTTTTCTCTCTCACAAGGATTCCATATGTCCATGTGATATCCAAATGCCTAAGAGGAAATTTCTCGAGTCTTCAAAAGGATTTTGGACATAGAATTTGGTTCAACATGAAGGAGACATGAATCCTATGAATGAGTATCCGAATGCCCCTTTGGTTACCTAGGCGACTTGGACTAAGGTAATCCATAAACCATGGACAAGATATTTTGACAAATTGAAGAAGAAAAACACTAAAATCATACTAAATAAATAAAATTTCTCATTTCAGTAGCGTTTCGCAAAGGAAAAACACGAAAGTATTCTAATATTCAATAAATATTTTACTTCAAAATAGAGTTTTGGCTAACATAAAATGAAAAATAAATAGATTACGTCATTCCTAGGAACAAAACCGTATGTATTTCTGTTTCTGAAATAATTTTGGGGAAATAAAACTTAGGTAATGATTATGGCATAAACTTTGTCGAAGTTCACTCGAGAACACTTCATGAAACGAGAGGAAATGATCGGCTCAATGGTTAATGGTTGGACCGGTAGACTAAGAATTCTGGTTCGACTAAATACCTAAGAAAAGGGCTTAAGATCCTTATGCTTTAAGACCCAACTTATGGATAAAGATGTTTCATATCGATTCAAATTTTAATTAATGATTAATTTTTTTTTTGTTTTTTGATTAAAAAATATTTAATGATTAAGTTTGTTTAAGTAAGAATTTTAATTGTGAATATTATTTGATGATTTAGTTTATTTAGATAATAATACTTATGTAATAAAATTTTTGGTGATCGATTTTCTTTAACATATAGAATTTTAAGGAAAAATTATTTTAGAGAGATGCAATATTTTTCACGATGATTCTAACTTTTAAGGTTATGTTGTAAAGTTTGTAGAAATATTAGAACAGTAGTTTGTGATGCATTAAATTTTGGAATATATATAAAGTTTGGGTATAAGAGAATTTTATGGATTTGTTTTTTTTTTTTGGATAATCAATTTTATGGATTTGTACTCTTTATATTTATATTAAATTATCATTTCTCTCATTGGTAGACATAGGCAATGTCAAATTATATTAAATCTCTTATTTTATGCTTTTTTATGAGTTTTATAGGCTTTTGTCGTGTAAGAAAGAAATTTATGAATTTTTAAATAAAAGGATTAAAAAAGTATTTTTAGTAAATCAAATATTTTAGAAAAATATATGACAATAATTAACATGTCACGCCGATTTTCGTGATCTAAATAATGAAATTTAATAATTTAACGATTGAGGGATTGTTTTGTTAAAAATAAAAAATATCAGTGGTTATTATGTAACATTTCAAACTTTGTTGGTAAAAAATGAAAATTGCTTAAACGTTAGTGACGGTTTAATGTAGTCTACCCTAAAAACGTCATCTTTTAGGTTGTTCTCAAATTTCACTGTGTTTTCCACTGCCGAATAGGAACGATCTTCTTCCTTTATCAAAACTCAAAGCCCTCGACGCTACCTCCTCCAAACTCCATTGAATTCAATGTCTCTGTAAAGGGTTGAGCGCAAATCGAAGGGAAAATCCCTAAGAATGGCGAAAGACAGGAAAAGGTCACATTCGCAGCGTTCCCCATCACCCCCAAAACCCCCAAATTTCCCTTCCTACCAAACCGCCCCTAACCTCAACCCCAAAGTCAAACTCCTCTGCGAAATCATCTCCACAACCCCCTCCGCCGCCGTCGAGAACCTTCTGGAAGACACCGGCCTCCGCATCACCCAGCACGACGTCGAAAACGTTCTCAGCCTCTCCTACTCTTTCCCTTCCCAAGCCGTCAAGTTCTTCCGTTGGTCGGGCCACCAACTCCAACACCAACATTCTCCTTACTCCTGGAACCTCGTCGTCGACCTGTTGGGCAAAAACGGCCTCTTTGATGCTATGTGGGACGCCATCAAGTCCATGAAAAACCTAGGGTTAGTTTCTTTGGCTACTTTTGCTTCTGTGTTCAGCAGTTATGTTAGATTTGATAAAGTTAAGGAAGCTGTTTTGACTTTCGAAGTTATGGATGAGTACGGTTGCGTTAGGGATATTGTTGCTTTGAATACTTTGATTAGTGCTATTTGTAGGGAGGGTAAAACCATTGATGGCTTGGAGTTTATAAGAGTGGCTAAAAGTAGGATTAAGCCGGATTTGGATAGTTATGCCATCTTGCTAGAAGGGTGGGAGAATGAAGGGAATGCTAGTTTAGCAAAAATGACTTTTGATGAGATGATTGCGGAAGTAGGGTGGGATCCCGGGAATGTACCGGCTTATGATTCGTTTTTGAATACTTTGATTAAAGGGAAGGATGGGATTAGTGAGGCTTTGAGGCATGTCGATATACTGCTAGAGAAGAAGTGTTATCCAGGGATGAAGTTTTTTAGGGATGCACTCGGCCATTTTCAGAAAGTTGGTAATGTTAGGGGTGCTGAGTTGATTTGGAAGGCGATGGTGGAGAAAGTTGGGATTATGCCTGATACGGAGATATATAATTTGATGATCACTTTGTACTGTTCCAAGAATTATACCGATATGGCGAAGAAGATGTTGGATGAGATGGTTTTCACTGGGGCATTTCCAGATGCGCAATCATATGATGTGTTGTTTCATTTCTTGATCAAGAATAAGAAGTTGAAAGATGCTTCGGTGTTGTTCAACGAAATGGTTAAAAATGAGTTTTTCCCAAGTAAAGCAGATTGCATTGCGGCGGTTAAGATTTTTCTTGACATTGGGGACCCTTATGTGGCTATAAAAGTTTGGAAATTCATGATAGAGAATTATGATTCTGATTTGGAGGAGACTGGAAATCTGTTGATTAATGGGCTTCGTGATGCAAACATGCTTCCAGAGGCAGTTAAGTATGCCGAGGGTATGATTGAGAAACGAATCAAGGTCACATCTGCCACGTTGTCTAGACTGAAACACAGCCTTAGCAAAGAAAAAAAAGACGGGGTATACGAAGAACTTTTAAGAAAATGGAAATCCTGTTAGTCTCACGGAAGTGCTTGAATTTCTTTCATTCTTGTCTGTAGGTTTAATCACTGCCAATGGCCAGGTATTTTGAAAATCATAATCAGTTAGTTGCGAACTAGGTCGCTAAATGCTTAGATACTTGTATAAACACTTGTGAATACAGGTGATTATGATCAGTTTCCATATAATACTGTTGTGTTTTAAGACACTGGACCAGTTGGGGAAACCTCTTGCAATATGGTTAGTGGTAAAGCTTGAGCAAACTGTGCAATTGTTGCCACATGGTTAGTGGGAGAAATATGCTTCAACAAAGGTTCCCACTTCCCAGGTCACCAAAATTCATACAAACCTTATTCTTATTGTTTGAATCTTGCTATGGGACACTATAATTTTATATTTATATATTTTTACTACTAAATAAATGAAAAACAATATATGCCATTCCATATGATCCAACCTTGAAAATTACAAAGTCTTCCATTAGAAAAACACTACCCTACAAAAAAACTAGTAGAAATGCAGAAAGATAGAATAGCGGTTACACTCTTGGTATTGTCTTTTTAATTCAGGCGCATCTGGTCTCATCAATTCCTTCAGATTGCATGGATTTCGGTTAAAACATCTACATTCCCTTCAACTTCGTCACTCGGTGGCGGCGACTTGCCAAGCTGAGGTGGCAATAAGCGGCCTTGTATGCCACCCGAGCGTTAAACACCCATCATTCTCCTCCACTCTATAACCATCACCGCCAGCAAACAGAGCCAACAGCATGCTGGCTTGCTTGTAAGCATTTGAGCCCAAGTGAGCTGGGCTGAATCCGGATGTTTTCATCCGAGACCTCCACTGAGCCAGCGTCTCATGTCGTTCAACTCGCTCTACCCCTTCACAAGCAACCACATTACAAATCTGTCTTCCCAGATACGACTCTGACATAACCAGGTCCTGACTTGATGGCGGCACCACCCCTGAGACTTCTAACGAGTCAAAAAGGCTAGAATAGTAATGTAGAGCTTCAGTGAAGCGATCTACGAAAACAGGACTGTTATGATTCGCTTCTTCTTCTACAATCGTGAGAATTTTGGGCTTCATGGTTTTGATCGACGAAAGAACCTTTTCTATCCCTCCAGCTCGAGCAAGAAGTCGGTGAAGTTCAAAAATGGAATTTACCGCCAGCGTCTCGACCTCAGGGGGTCGGATATCGAGCATTTTGGGCTCGAGGTCTGCCAAACTATTGACCATGAATCCTCTGAACTCAAATTTGACGCCAATAGTTTCAGCTAAATACGCTAACTTACATCCCACTTGCTGCAAAGCATCGGTATTATCCGGTTGATGCGGGCCAATACCCGTCAATCGGAAAACCGGAGGTCCACCTGGCCTTAGTGCAAGCTCTTGCATTAAAGCCGGCCATTGCATCCCCTGTTTTAACCCGAAATCAATAACGTGTACTCTGTTTGATGTTGCAAAAGCTTCGAGTATAGCTTGATTGGATGTAAAATGAGCGAATTTCAAGTAAGGGCAAGTTTCGTAAAAGTGCATCTGCAGCATATCAGTGTAGGAAGGGTGAAGCGAGTCTTGTGGGTAAACGCCGTAGATTCGACGAGCTAAGGCTTCGGCAAAATAGGT